AGATAAATAAATTATCTGCCATGAGCCGGAGTTCGAATCTGGGACTTTTAGCATTGGAGGACAATATCCTACCACACTCCCAATTTAATGATTAATATATTTTATTCGAGTGGAAATGTCTTGATCGAAAAATAATCACTGCTAATTAGATAAAATTAAACTGCCACCTCCAGATGAATACTATTTTCCGTACAAATTTTTGATCTGAAATCTTTCTTTTGTATTAGGAGATTACAGGAGGTCAATACTGCAACGAAAACACCTAGATGTAAATATCCATTTTTGTATTAGGTGAATATGAAGTTACATGAGGACAACATATATGTTAATAAATATCCAGCTGCATAAGTTGAGCTCCTATAATCTCCTACTCTCTTAATACTAAAACAAATTAAATTTGAAAGTCGCTAAACACTTCTTTATATAACACAGAGATGAATTATACTTATACTATCAAGTAATATATTCATAATGTACTGAAGTAAACAGATATCCTGTATATCTGTAGGGGTATATTCACAATTGCATATATTATATTTTATTATACTACAACAATTGTTACCATCTATTTACTTCTGTTTAGGTTCTTGTTACTTAACTTACTCTGTTTATATGACATATTATTCTTAATATTTTAATGTACTTACTGTTTATATTTTTAATAAGTTTATTCACATTAGTTATAATTTTTTATCTAAATATTATGTAACTTCCACACTTCTCTATATCTTTTTGTATTTTGTCCGTTCTAGCCCTGAAGATGACCTGCAAAGTAGGGTCGAAACGTTGGCTTTTAATAAAATAGTTGCCACTATTTATGACCGCCACCTAGAACCATCTCCTTTCTGTATAATTTCTTAGATTATAATACAATATTATTATATCATCATACTAGTATATTAATAGTATTATAGTTTACAATTACTATACATATAATTACTCCATGATATCTTCTCATAAATTTACTAATATTATATTTTAGAAGGGCATATCAATTGTAAATGTAATTTACTATAATGAGGACTATTTGTTTAAATTATACTCCATTATATTTATATTATTACTCTTAATGTAATTGCTATGAAACTTTTAGTATCTTTGATATTATGTATTCACTTTCTTCATTACATTTCATTAGCGCCATGCAAAACAGAGAGAATGATAAATGAGCTGGCATAGCTTCATTGAATTAGAACTAAACTGCGACTCTTAATTTTATTCTTGCCTCTTGTTTGTTTAGTTCTAATTGAAGAGGGTAACTTTGTTGATTATTTAATTGGGTCGAGTTGTTTGTTATCACTTTGTTAACACTTAAGGACTTTCCTTTATTATATATACAATATAATAAATAAATTATAATTTTTAAGAGTATTCAAGGCAATTGGATCAAAATTATGCAGAGATAATACGTAAAACTAATTTTTAAACATATTTATACACAAATATAATGATCTAACATATGTCTATTATAGGCCATAGGTCACCAAAAAAACACAGTTTTTTTTTATATATTACATGTATGTAAAAAAAAAACACAAATATATGAAATTCTACTCCAAAATTGGTACCCCATAAGACTGATAAATAAATTATGGCACAAAGATAAAAGAGAAAAAAACATAGATAATTATAAAGAAATAAAGGGTCCAAACATCAATACCAATATAAAAACGTATCAAAACAAGACCAAAAATAAAAAAGCAAATTTAATCACAAACTATTTTAAAGTAGATAATACTGAAAAACATAAGCATAACAAAGAAAATCCTGATCTACAATTTCAGAATAAGAAAAATAAGAATATTAACGCAGACCCCAACCCCAAAAAATACTTTTCGGTCACTTATATTAGAGGTTTAACTGATAAAATTGAAAAAACTTTTAAAAAATATGATATAAATGAAATCAGATTTGGGAAAAAACATATTAATAAATTATAATAATAACAATAATAAGCCTTGCGAACCCGAAGGTTCGATGCCGACACCACCAATCGCTTGTTACACACCTCCCTCCACCGTTCGCCGTCCAAACCCAGTCCCTTCAGATCAGCTTTAATGCAATCTTCCCACCTTCGCTTCGGTCTACCCCTCAGACGCTTACCATTCGGCACAGCAAATATTAACCTTTTAGGAATTCTCTCGTTACTAAGCCCAACAACTTTACAAGCTCATTTGATTCGCCGCGATGAAATTACCTCAATTATATTACCCGGATATAGCTCACGCAATTCGGCGTTGTGTAACCGTCTGAACTCTCCGGTTAACTCATTCTTCTTCGGTCCGAATATTCTACGCAATACTTTATTTTCAAAAACCTTAAGACGCTGCTCATCCCTTAATGTAAGCGGCCAAGTTTCGCATCCATAAAGAACTGTAGGCAAGATAATTATTTTATAGATTCTAATTTTTAAGTTCCGGAACAAGAGGCGCGAACTAAGTAGTTTTGTCACAGAAAAATAACAAGCATTTCCCGCCTTCAGTCTAACCTTAATCTCTTCTTAAATTTCGTTTTTTCTAGTTATCGTAGAACCTAGATACCTAAATTTATCTACCTGTTCAAACATATTACCATCTATATCGATATCACCAGTAGTATCGCCATTTTTGCAGCTAACCATATATTTTGTTTTATCCACGTTTATTTCGAGTCCTAGTTTTTTACTGGCTTTCATTAACGTTGTCGTATTTAGTTTTATAGTTTCAACGTCTTCGCTTAACAGTACCAGATCATCAGCATAGCCCAGCACGGATGTTGTCCCGCCCAGTATTAATAAATTAGATAAATTATATAGTAGAACTAAGGATATTATTCCAAAAGAAAACTAACTAATATTGTTTATAAAATACGATGCGAGGATTGTGAAAATAAAGCACATTACTGACAAACCTCACAATGGTTTGAACGTAGGATACAGCAACATAGACAAAATTGCAGGTCTAAAACCACAAAATCAAAATTAGCCACAGGATTATCGCAGCATACCACAAAAAATGGACATAAATTTGATTTCGGTACTGCTTCCGTGTTGCATAGAGAACAAAATATTGGGAAACGTAGAATCATTGAATCTATTTTTATCAATAAAAATCTAAAACATTCAGTGAATCAACAGACAGATGTTGATAATTTAAACACGTTTTATGCTAGCACAATTGATAAAATTAATATATAACATACTGATATAAAACAGCTGATCACTAACCCCTCCACCCCACTCCTTATGTAAGTAAATCCAGTCCTGTATGAATGCCCTATTGAAGAACAAAACTTTCTTGATACCGTCTGCAAATAGAGGTATATAAATCGAAAATTAAAAATTTTAGATTAATTATAGCAGTCTATTTTTAATTTATAATTATATATTATAATTTTTAGAAACGGAAAACGACATTCTTTGAAATAAAAGAATGAATTAGGACGAGTCATATCGTAATGACAAAAATTTTTAAAAATTTTATGGCGCGGTGCATGTTAGGTGAATACAAGTTTATCGTCTGATGCTATACTTGAATGGTAAAAAGTAAATTAAAATTTAGTTGCAGGTTCTTGAAAATGGCTCCTGAAGCCGAAACGTTGAATAAATATACATGTAATATATAAAAAAAAACTGTGTGTTTTTGGTGACCTATGGCCTATAATAGACATTTGTTAGATTATGAGAAAATGGCACCAAACCCGAAGGATGGGACTAGAAAAAAAAAAAAAAGATAATGAGATTTTTACTTGTTTTAAACATTTTTTTAAAGAAATTTTGTTAAACGTTAATAAAGATTAACGTAAACCTTTTAGGAATTCTCTCTTTACTAAGTCCAACTATTTTACAAGCCCATTAGATTCTCCGCGATGTGATCACCTCAATTATATTAACTGGATACAGTTCACGTAACTCGGCTTTGTGCAACATTCTGAACTCTCCGGTTAAGTCATCTTTCTTTGGTCCGAATATTGTACGCAATACTTTATTTTCAAAAACCTTAAGACGTTGCTCATCACGTAATGTAAGCGGCCACGTTTCGCACCCATAAAGAACTGTAGGTAGGATAATGGTTTTATAGTTTCTAGTCTTTAAATTCCGGGACAATCTAGCTAATCAGTAACTGCAAGACTGTTGCGCAAGACCAAGACCATGATTGAGTTTGCAAGACCAAGACTCGTCTCGGTATCGCATTTGGACAACACTAGTTCCAATGAGTTTACAAATTTCCTGTTGACTGCTTACAAGTACTGCTATATAAATTGCATATCTAAGGATTTTATAATTCATTTCTACATGGATATCATTAAATTACGTTTAGTTTAACCTTAAAATTTATCCTCATACCAGACTGAAACGACAAGAAACCGCTCGACGTTTCCGACTACTCCAACACTTACTAAACAAACGCTCTAAACTTCCCCTTAATTACAAAAGACTCATATACTTGACTATAATAAGACCTATTTGGACTTACGGAGTTGAGCTATGGGGCTCCACTAAACCATCGAATTCCTCTCGCATCCAATCCTTACAATCCAAAATCCTTCGTAAAATCCTCAATGCTCCTTACTTTGTCACTAATAAAATAATCCATAAAGACCTCAATGTTCCATATGTTTCCGATTTGGCCAAATCCAGATACCTATCCTTCCATAATAAACTTCATAACCATCCGAATCCTCTTGTTTCTAACCTTGCTTCCTCTTCGATTCCTGATAACCCTCCGAGGCGTCTGAAAAGAAGATGGCCTCGTGATCTTCTCATGTAGACAAATTATTAGAGTGCTACTAGTGGGTAGTTTCTCAACAAGCGTGTTTCATGTAATAATATTTCTCTGTACAAATTTACTTGATGTATTTATACTAATACAGTTGTAAATATCATAATAAAAGTTCAAAAAAAAAAAAAAAAAAAACCTTAAAATTTACCACAGTATCTAAAAATTGTGCGATTTTTTAAAATTATTTTTTCTATCTTATTGATTACACTTTGAAATAACATATTATTATTTATTTTTCAGAGAGACAGCCCTGACAGTGATCCTGATCAAGGCCGGCCTAGGCCTGGATGCACCCGCCCTACTCAAGTTGAGCCTCGTCGTCTTGCGGCTTGCTTTCCTGCCCTGCATAGGAGAGGCAGTCGCTGCGGCCTTCGTCTCCTACTACCTGCTCGACTATCCCTGGCTATGGGGTCTGCTCCTAGGGTGAGTGCTTATAGGATATGAGGTCATGAGCTTTAACATTCTCGAGTCTAGCGGCGCCTCACACTGTAGCGAGCTAACGTTACTGACATTGGGTGAAAAAAGTCTGGTGTTGTGCACGCATCACACAACTTTCACTTGCCACCTTCTTCTTAGTAGAAATTTTCAAACAAAGGAGAAGTGAAAATAAAAATTATAGACGCTATAATTATTTATATTTCATTGTAATTATTTTTATTTGTATATGTACAAATTATTATAAAACGTGTTTTTTTGTCGGTACGCTATAACTTCATCAATTCCTCATCAAATGATTGACCACTGATTTTGAAGATATTCTTCTCCTTCACATGCGAAAAATATTCCTATCACCCTGAAATTTCTTGAGGAAAAGTTATGAAGGAAAAGAAATTTTACTCTGGAATAACTCATGTATGTATGTATTTTTGTAACTCAAAAGTATGTATTTTTTTCTTGATTGTACCCATGATAAATAGAAAGATTACTGAATTACCTACAAAACAAAAAAAATAATTCGTAAAAATCGATTAGAAATATGTATAATTTAAACAATTTTTATTGACGGAAGGAGTAAAGTGTTGCAATATTTTTTTACGGAGAAACAAAGTTGATATTTATATTTCGAATTTCGAAAGACTCTGGAATACGAATTTTCATTGTGATTGAAAAATAATTTTTTTTTATTCACCGAAGTTGAACTAAGGGAATATTGAACTAATATATCCGTCCACATATTCACACGAAATGTTATTTGGTGGATATATAGGGATTTATAAACTACACGAAATGACACAAACGATACCTTCCTAAATAATTTAGAACTCAAGTTAGAAAATAAAAACCTGTTAGGAGTTTTTATTTATTTACTCTTTATAGACGTGTTAAATCAAAAAGCTATTTATACGGTCTTGAGGAGCGATAATTCAGCTTTCCAATGGTTGTAGAAACATTTAATTAGGATAAAAGCTTGACGAGTTATGAATGTTTTAGTTAACTGCAGGGAAAAACATCATAATGAAAAGTGAAGTCGTTGTCATGACGATTATCTCAGCACAGCTCTACTATCCTATATTTTATTTCTAAAAGGAGTTTTTTTTTTTGTGGGTACGCTATAACTTCGTGAATTTCTCATAAAATCCAATGATTGACCACTCATTTTGAATATATTGTTCTCCTTCACATGCGAAAAATATTCATATCCACCCGAAATTTCCAGGGGAAAAGTTATGAAGGAAAATAAATTTTATTCTCGAATAACTCAAAAAGTATTCATTTGTTTCTTGATTGTACCCATGATAAATAGAAAGATTACTAAATTACCTACAAAACAAAAAAAATAATTCGTAAAAATCGATTAGAAATATGTATAATTTAAACGGTATGTATTGACGGAAGGAGTGAAGTGTGTTGAAATATTTATTTACGGAGAAACGAAGTTGATATTTATATTTCGAATTTCGAAAGACTCTCGAATACGAATTTTTATTGCGATCGAAAAATCAATTTTTTTTTCTACGAATTTGAACTAAGGCTTTGATTTTATTATTTAGTAATCTATACAATTAAATCCTATATTTTATTTCTAAAAGGTGTTTTTTTGTCGGTACGCCATAACTTAGTCAATTCCTCATCAAATGATTGACCACTCATTTTGAAGATCTTCTCCTTCACATACGACAAATATTTCTATCCCCCGAAATTTCTGGAGGAAAAGTTATGAAGGAAAATAAATTTTATTCGCGAATAACTCAAAAAGTATTCATTTGTTTCTTGATTGTACCCATGATAAATAGAAAGATTACTGAATTACCTATAAAAAAAAAATCGTAAATATGTATAATTTAAACAATTTGTATTGACGGAAGGAGTAGAGTGTGTTGGAATATTTTTTTATGAAGAAAAAAAGTTGATATTTGTATTTCGCATTTGGAAAGACTCTGGAATACGAATTTTCATTGCGATTGAAAAATAATTTATTTTTTCATTCACCGAATTTGAACTAAGGGAATATTGAACTAATATATTCTTCCACATATTCACACGAAATATTATTTGGTGGATATATAGGGCTTTATAAACTATACGAAATGACACAAACTGTACCTTCCTAAATAATTTAGAACTCAAGTTATAAAATAAAAACGTGTTAGGAGTTTTTATTTATTTACTCTTTATCGACGTGTTAAATCAAAAAGTTATTTATATGGTCTGGAATAGCGATAATTCAGCTTTCCAATGGTTGTAGAAACATTTAATTAGGATAAAAGCTTGACGAGTTATGAATGTTTTAGTTAACTGCAGGGAAAAACATCATAATGAAAAGTGAAGTCGTTGTCATGACGATTATCTCAGCACAGCTCTACTATCCTATATTTTATTTCTAAAAGGAGTTTTTTTTTTTGTGGGTACGCTATAACTTCGTGAATTTCTCATAAAATCCAATGATTGACCACTCATTTTGAATATATTGTTCTCCTTCACATGCGAAAAATATTCATATCCACCCGAAATTTCCAGGGGAAAAGTTATGAAGGAAAATAAATTTTATTCTCGAATAACTCAAAAAGTATTCATTTGTTTCTTGATTGTACCCATGATAAATAGAAAGATTACTAAATTACCTACAAAACAAAAAAAATAATTCGTAAAAATCGATTAGAAATATGTATAATTTAAACGGTATGTATTGACGGAAGGAGTGAAGTGTGTTGAAATATTTATTTACGGAGAAACGAAGTTGATATTTATATTTCGAATTTCGAAAGACTCTCGAATACGAATTTTTATTGCGATCGAAAAATCAATTTTTTTTTCTACGAATTTGAACTAAGGCTTTGATTTTATTATTTAGTAATCTATACAATTAAATCCTATATTTTATTTCTAAAAGGTGTTTTTTTGTCGGTACGCCATAACTTAGTCAATTCCTCATCAAATGATTGACCACTCATTTTGAAGATCTTCTCCTTCACATACGACAAATATTTCTATCCCCCGAAATTTCTGGAGGAAAAGTTATGAAGGAAAATAAATTTTATTCGCGAATAACTCAAAAAGTATTCATTTGTTTCTTGATTGTACCCATGATAAATAGAAAGATTACTGAATTACCTATAAAAAAAAAATCGTAAATATGTATAATTTAAACAATTTGTATTGACGGAAGGAGTAGAGTGTGTTGGAATATTTTTTTATGAAGAAAAAAAGTTGATATTTGTATTTCGCATTTGGAAAGACTCTGGAATACGAATTTTCATTGCGATTGAAAAATAATTTATTTTTTCATTCACCGAATTTGAACTAAGGGAATATTGAACTAATATATTCTTCCACATATTCACACGAAATATTATTTGGTGGATATATAGGGCTTTATAAACTATACGAAATGACACAAACTGTACCTTCCTAAATAATTTAGAACTCAAGTTATAAAATAAAAACGTGTTAGGAGTTTTTATTTATTTACTCTTTATCGACGTGTTAAATCAAAAAGTTATTTATATGGTCTGGAATAGCGATAGTTCAGCTTTCCAACAGTTTTAAAAACATTGAATTAGGATAAAATCCTGAGGAGTTATGAATGTTTTAGTTAACGGCAGGCAAAAACATCATAATCAAAAGTGAAGTCGCTATGACGACTATCTCAGCACAGCTCTTCTATCCTACATATTATTTCTAAAAGGTGTTTTTTTTGTCGGTACGCCATAGCTTCGTCAATTCCTCATAAAATCCAATGATTTGCCACTCATTTTGAAGATATTCTCCTTCACATGCGAAAAATATTCCTACCACCCCGAAATTTATGGGGGAAAAACTATGGAGGAAAAGAAATTTTATTCAAGAATAACTCAAAAAGTATACATTTTTTCTTGATTGTACCCATGATAAATATAAAGTTAGCTAAATTACTTACAAAACAAAAAAAAATTCGTAAAAATAGGACAATTATTAACAAAGATACAATCCATTAGTTTTGGTATACTTAATAATGTCTTCCGATTTAAATAAATTAGGAACAGAATAGTCAACTACGTTATTTTTTTCTAGCTGATATATTAACTTTATTATTTCTTAAAGACATTTGGTAGTTCTTAACTTTTATTTTTTTTTATAATTTAGAATATTCCATGATCGGGTTATTATTTTGTCTATATTACAGTCAGCGTTTAAAAATATCTCCTATTATTTCTATTATGCTTAATGGAATATTGAAATCGACCAAGAAAAAAATATTAATTCCACCTGTACATAATACATATCAACGACTTATTTCCATTTGTTTTGCTATTTCTTCACTAAACAAAATTTTTTGCGAATTTTTCGCACGGGCCAAATAGTATTAAATAATACCAACAATAGCATTTGTGAAAACCGCATATTTATATTTATATAATATTGTCGGAGTCGGTATTATATTAAGCTAATGTTATGTATAGAACCCTATTATAATCTTTCGGACGAGCTCAGGTGCAATCAATTACTACTATTTTCCGTTACGATTTTTTACTTCCCCTTCAGTTATATATCAAATTCATTCATATTTTATATTTAACTACCTTTTATATTAGAGATGAATGTGAAATAGTAAATTGTTTAAATAAAAAAAAAAAATTAAAGGTTCTTTAGAGGAAGCTAATATTGAAAATTAGCTATTTAAACCCTGTTAGAGAACACAAATCAGAATAAAAACACCATTTTATTTAAAACTGCTTAATTTTACACTGACGTAAAGAATTTAATCAAAATCGTTATAGCCGTTTTTGAGAAAAATGTGTTTAGTTCATGATATAAAGTGCGGGTCAGTCGATTTTGACGAAAAAGTTACTGTAACATCCCTAACGTCAATTGACTAAAACGTCAATTGGTATAAACTATTGCGTTAATGCTCTTACGAAACTCAAAAAGCATGCAAAATTGGATAGATTCCTAGTCTAGTATTTGGCTAGCAATTTCATCCAAAATTCCAAAACAAAATTTTA